ACTCTGCTAGACAGAGCAAGGAGGCTTCTCATCCAGCTGTGCGGGAACTGTTAGTCAGGTAAATCCAGGTAAATCCTGTGTGGATGGGCTGCATGCAAACCCTGGACAGAGACCATTGCAGCAGGCGGGGTCCTGCTTCCTCCATTCTGTTGTCAGGGCTGGTCCCCAGGTCCACAAGCAAGATGACCGAAAAGCTGACCTCTGACTCTCTCGCATTGTTCGTGACCTCGGTCACGAACCACTTGCCCCAGTCCCTCTCGCTCCATGCTCCTTTATCTAATCCTGATTCTCCCATCCTCGGACATTATATAATTCATCATCTTTTTTTACTATTTTCTCTCTCATATTTCCTATTTAGCTTTTTTTCTTCCCTACCACCATTATCACCGTTGTAGTGGTTACCATTTTATTGAGGATTTACCATATGCCAAGCACTATGTGAGGCCGTTTTGGTGCATTTGTTCAGTTGACCCTTATTGGGACTCTATGAGGTCACTATTCCATTTTATTGATGAGTGAACCAGTGTCGCCCTAGCCTGGCCAAGGTCGCACGGCTACTGAGTGGCAGAGTGGGGGTTTGGACCTAGGTTTATTTGGTTACACCATGTCGCCTTGTCCCACTGTTTCCATAGCCCCATATCTGTCTGACTGAGCTTCCCTGGGTCTGCCCTGGTCCGCCGTCACTGGCCTGCACTTCTACCTAAACCTTGAAAGCAGTAACCCCCAGGCTACCCAGCAGGTGGGGTTCTAGCAAGAACTGTCTTGTTTCCCGGGATCTTTCCAGAGTCAGGGCAGACTCTTGCCTGGTGGTCTAGTGTTGGGTCAAAAAGTGACTCCCAGACGTTCTTTGTCCTTAACCTTAAATCTGCAGAGGACAGACCTCATCTAGGGGTCCCTTTGGGTACTTTGGAGCCCAGGAGCCTGAAGGGAGCAACTTGGTTCCCAAGTCCTGCCTGTCGCCTCGGTGTGGCCATGGAGTCTCAGGACCTCCCACACAGCCAGGGGCCAATCCAGACACCCTCTCACGGCGGAGGCAGCCATCTCAGCACCTTGGTCTTCCTCCTTCTCCTGAGGAAACAGGGCCAGAGAGTGTGACGGGGAGAAAGAGAAGAGCCTCTGACCCAGCACCCCTGGATCTCCCTGTCCTGTGGGAGGGAGGCCCCGTGTGCCAAGCTGAGCTCAGTGGGGTGCGCGTCTCTCTGAGGTCACGAAATAGCTCCATTTACTCTTAACTCATGCATGTAGTGAGGTAATGGATGTGGAAATACCACAGCTGCTGGCACAGAGTGGGTATTCAAGAAAGATGAATTCCCTTTTTTTCCTATCTTCCACAATCTTCTTTTCCTTCGAAGTAAAAATAATGTAAGGGCCAAGCCATAGTCTAAGGATGAGGATCCCACTATTCAGAAGGGAGGAGTGGCTTTCCTAAGACTGCACACCCAGCACCAAAATCCAGGTGTCCCGCGGTGTGTTGGCATGCCACCATCTTTCCGTTGGCATTCCTGCAGTACGGGGTATGCCGCTGGTCCCCGAAGTTCTGTGCCTCCTTCTCTGTCTCCTTTGACTCCTTCTCTAGGAGTTCCTCAGGTGTCAGCCTTCTTGTCTCCATAGCTACAGAGTCAGTTTCCCAACCCTGGAAAAAAAGCATGGATCATAAAAATAGGAGTGGATTAAGGAATTATCCAGCCTAGTGAGTTTCAGACATGCCTTAGGAGCAAAATGCTTTCTTCAAACAAATATTTTCTAGAAATCAATCAATCAATCAATCCTTTTTGGAAATTATATATATATATATGTATATATATATATATATACACACACACACATATACATATATATATATATATATATATTTCTGAAAAAAGGAGATAGATATATGGGGGGAGAGAGAGAGATGGTTTTAGCTGGTGTGTGTTGTGTGTATTTGGGGTGTGTGTGTGTGTGTTCATACATAATCTCTTTGGCCTTAGCTGTATATAAAACTATACGAGGAAGGCTCCAGGTCACACATTGCTTCTGGTATGACCACTTCTGTCAAATAGAAACATTATGGTGTGTTCTCATCACCTTATTGACCGGATCTGGCACCGTGCGACTTCTGGCTCTTCCCCAAAGTCAAAATGATTGAGGACATCAAGGCAGCCATGACAGCGCAACCAAAGACACTCATGAAAGAGGACTTCCAGAACTGCTTCAGAAAGTGGCAAGAACGATGGGATAAGTGTGTTCAAAGCGAGGGGGAGTATCTTGAGAGGGATGAATGGCCATGTGTCTCTTACTGTAATAAATTCTTTTGTATTTAAACACCATATGTTTTGATCACACCTCGTACAGGTGAGGGAAGTAGGTGCAAGGAGGAGACAAGGACTCATCCGGAGAACTTTCAGGGGCTGGGGGATCTAAAATGGTGGGGAGAGCTGAGCATCGTGACGTAAGCCGGGAGGAGCACGCCCGGCTTTCGCGGGCAGTACCAGCCTGCCAGGCTCCAGACCTCGTGCGAGGCCTCATTAACATTCAGAGGGAGAAGGAGCCTGGGGCCGCCATCGCCACGCGGGCATCGCAAAAGACAGTCTGTGTTTTAATTACGACCTGGACTTTGGAACAAATCCTTTTCTCTGCTTGTCTGAGCCTTAGAGAAAACAACTCGTGGGAGGTGTGTAGTCGGCAGCTGGGTCCACCGTGGTGCCCTTCCAGCTGTGCACACATCTGGCACACAGGTGGTGGGCAGCATGCACCTTTTCTCCTTGAATTGCTCTGGGGTTAGTGAGGCCAACAAGCGGCAAGACAGCAAGGTGGGGGTGACCTGGTCTTCACAGAGGGGGAGCTGATGGAGACAGTGGAGAGAAACGGGCCTGCCCCTCGCCCCACCACAGCCCCCACCGACCACCCTGACCCTCCCTTGACCAACGTGGGGGACGGTTTTGGAGTGGGGGATGACATTCAGAAGACATGAGAAAGAGGCGGAGATGATTAGCAGGGTAGGAGTTAGGCCGGCACAGATGCCAGCACCTCCAAGTGCTTGCTGAGACCCTGGGAGCATTTGCCTAGTCTGTTTGACAGGCCATTCCTGGGAAGGGGAGGAGGAGAACTTGGGACAAAGGGCCTTTGACCGGCTCCTGAAAAAGCATTGATTAGTTTGCTCAGATTGGCAAACAGTGACTCGAGACTGAGGCCAGGGCTGAACTGGCTGGCTTTTCTGTCCGATGCGTGTGTCCAGCAGGGAGGGAGAGCGTAAAGGGACTGGTGTGCCCTGAGTTTCAGAACTGGACTGCGGAACCATGCAGGGCAGGCTGAGAAAGGGAGAAGGCAGGGGAAGGGCTGCTGGTGCCCGGAGCTCTGGGTTTGGGGCTGTCGCATGCTCAGACATGGTGCAAGAGCCACACCAGCCCCTTGGACTGTCCGCCAAGCTCACCCCTGTTTCTGAAGCCAGGAGGTGGAGGGAAGGCATATCAGGACGGGGGTCCTCAGGTGCTCCCAGTGGCCAAGGGTAGGGAGTTGGAGCGGTGGCCCCAGGCCTGGGCTGAGGAGTGAGACCATCTGCACCGCTGACCCCGCGCTGTGCTGGGCTCCCCTGCAGGCTGGCCTCTGTCCTGGGAGGCTGACCGCAGGGTCTTCTCCGGGCCCTGGCTGCCTTCACTCAGAGACCTGAGGCGGCCTCCCTTCTTCTCATGCCGTCTGTGCGTCACGCCGCTTGGGGCCCCTCCTTAGCCCCCTCCTCACGCCGCCCTAATGAGAAGCTCTCTTTTGCTCCCAGGAAGCTTCCCAGCTACACAGACTACACACGTGTGCACTCAGAGTCATAAACTGTGCAGCGTCCACTGCCATGTGCTGGGGTTTTCTGCCATTCTATAATATTTTGTGCTCCCTGGACACTGCCCTGTACTGTTATGTTCCATTTTGCACAGGTGCATCTCCATGGGTAGACACTGTTTGTTTGTCGTCTCTCTCTCTCTCACTGGACTGTGAGCTCCACGAGGCTGGGGACTTTGTTTTGTGGAATTTTGTGCCAACTCCCATGCCTGACACATGACAGACACTCAGCATAGGCTGTGTTTGGGCACGAATGCTGCCAGGTGGCAGCTGCTTCTCCTCCCCTCCCTGTTGACAGGGAGGATGTGGGGGGATGCTTCTGAATAAATGAAGGAACGAGTGAGAAGAACAAACAAGTGAATGAATGAATGCACGTTAGGAATGAATGAAAAAAAGAAGAAATGAGCACACAAATGTGCAGATGAGCTTTCGGGATGGGGCTGGCCACACTGGGGCCATTGTGGTGGTTGTCCATCTATAGGGAAAGACTCTCATTGATTCACCGTTCCTGCACCTGCCACGGCGAGGCCATGAGCCAGGTGGGGCCGTTACAGCCAGGTGGCATTAGCAACCAGCATGCACGTGGGGTCAGCGCGCGTCTGTCTGTGCAGTGAGGAGGATGTGGAGTGTCATGTACTCGCTCTGGCCTGTTTCCTCCATGATGCCCTCTGACCTTTCCACATCCGTTGACCCCTCTGGTATGCGGGGACAAACACAAAGATTTTCTTTCCCCCTAGTGTGCTACTACCTTTTTAAGGAAAATTACTTTTGTTTTGGAAATGGGGAAATGAAATGAATGCTGCCACGAGTGACTCGAGACATATTTTGAGGGTATGTTATGTCTGTGTTTATTACGCCACAGGCTTTGACAAAGGCAATTATGTTTTCATGAGGCAATTTGGAAACGAAAAAAATAGAGCGATCCGCTATAAATGTCAGTTCTTCGGGGGTGACGAGGGAAATGGTTACCTTTGCTGGGAACCTACTGCGTGTCAGCTCCTCTGTCCACCTCTTCATACGCGGTCTTCCAGCCTCCTCAGGGGAGAAATGCTCTGGATTTAGAGACCACCCCATTCCGAGCCTTCTCGCCCCAGCTCTTGACGTTCCTTTTGCTGTCGACTTGAGGGGGATGCCGGGGCCTCAGCCGGGCCTTTCTCACGACACGCCTTCCCTTTGTCCCCTCCTGCCAGGCTGTTTGCTGTCAAATGTGGGGGCTGCTTCGAGGCCATCGCGCCCAGCGAGTTTGTCATGCGGGCGCAGAAGAGCGTGTACCATCTGAGCTGCTTCTGCTGCTGCGTCTGCGAGCGTCAGCTGCAAAAGGGCGACGAGTTCGTCCTGAAGGAGGGGCAGCTGCTTTGCAAAGGGGACTATGAGAAAGAGCGGGAGCTGCTCAGCCTGGTGAGCCCAGCGGCCTCGGACTCTGGTGAGTGCCATGCTGTGGGCGGGGTGTGCGGGGGGCCGTGTGTCGGGGGGTGACAGTCTCAGGGCTTTTCCCCTGGAGGGTCAGCCACCAGGGCAGCCTAGCTCCATGGACAGCAGCTCCGTGCTGCCCAGGAAGGTTCTTTGTAAGCTGGGAGCAACCTCTTATCAGTCAGGAACCGTCATGATGTGCCAGGTAACAAATCACCCACCCCCAAATTCCATGGCAGACAACCAGAAACACTTGTTCATGTGCTCATGAGTCTCTGGGTTCATGGGAGTGACTCTGCCTCAAATGGCCTGTCATCTTTCACGCTTTTCTCCATGACTTGGATGAAGACGTAGAAGGCAGATTTATTCGATTTGCAGATGACACAAACCTGGCAGGGAAGGCTAGGGTGGCAGCTCCATGTTCAAAAGGAGTGTGACAAGCTGACAGAACAAGGCAAAGTCAGCAAGACGGAATCTAGCCATTGGGTTCCAAAATTCAGCAGTGATGACTTGGAGTTTCGATGGAATTTCACACGAGGCTTTAGTTGACCATGAAGTCAAGAGGAGCCAAAGCAAACGCTGCATTACTCGAACATAACGTCCCTAACATGTAATTATAGTTCCATTATTATTATTATTTTGTGCACTGGTCAGAGCACATTTGGGATATTTGGCCTAATTGTGAATGATGTGTTTTGTTGGGGGGGGGCGGTCATTCACTGGCCAACTAGAGAGAGTCTTGAGAAGACTGATTCACTTGTTAAATGATAAATAGCTTTGTCAAAATGAGGCTAAGTGAGGGAGATATGAGAGTCCCACCCAAAGGTGGAGTCAGCCACTCACAGGGTGAAGTGATAGACTTCGGTCCAATATAGAACAGAACTGTGTGCCTCAAGGGTGCAGACTAGCCGCCTTTGTGGGACATGGACCTGCTCGTCATTCATATTTTAAGTACAGCTGGAAGCCTGGGTCACTGACCTCCATGCTGCCAGGGTCCTGGAGTCTGGGGTTTTACGATGCTGGCTGTTCCGACTCACACAGAAGCACGTGACACTTCCATGGCTCTGTGGAACACCAAGCCCAGGAGAGGTCCCCTGCTGGGTCTCCTTTCTGGTGGCCAGAAAGCCTCTTTTGTCCTGGTCCCTGCTGTGCCAGGGGCCTTGAGTCCAGTACAAGGCTGGACTCTGTAGCCAGTGAAACCATTTCCTTGGGACTCTTGGGCCTCTGGGAGCCCAGGGCCTGCAGGAGAGACCTGGTGACACTCGGCCTGAGATTCTCTCATTGGTCACAGAGACACAGGTTCTTCAGTTGTAGGCACGTTAGAGGTTTTCCAGCCGAAACTGCCACCATGGCTTGTCCAGCCTCTGTTTGAGTGTCTCCGACCATGGGGAGCTCCTGACCTCAAATGCTAAGTGTGGGTCATCTGAATTGTTACATTGAGCCCCAGCGTCTGCCTCCATGTGCAACCTCAACCTTGACCGTGGACCTGCTTTCAGGAACTCACAAATTCGGTCCCTCTCTCCTTTGAGTTGAGACAGACCCTCGTACTCCCTAAGTCTTCTCTTTTTTTTCTGGTCTCTCCCCATCCTTCCAGCGATCCCTTAGAAGACACGGTTTGCTCTCTCAGTAAAAATGCTGCAATCTCTTTAGAATGTAGTACCCAGAAGGGAATAGACATCCACATGTGGTCTGAACTAGCACACTGTTGTTGTTACGACTTGTCATAGACATCGTATCTGATTGATGGGGTCCATGATGTCAGCAGCAGTCTGACCCACGAGTGCGGTGGGAACTGGGAGCAACCTTGGCTCCTGGCTGGTCCATGTTCCATTTCTTAATTACCCATCCCTTTTCATATGTTCTTTTAATATCAGAGCTCATCTGAGAATGTCTTGCACAGTAATTTTTAAAAACTTTTTTTTAATTTCTAAATGAAATTTTAGATTGGCAGAGCAATTGCAATGTAGGACTGAAGTTTCCACATATCCTCCATCTGGCTCCTGCTAAGGTTAACGTCTTATATATACATTTTGATAAATGTGCCATGCAAACCGCAGAACTAACATTAGTACAGCACGATTAACTAAACAAAAGATTTTACTCGTTTCCAAGAGATTTCCCACTAATGTCCTTTTCCACTCCGGAATCCAGTCTAGGATACCATGTTGCATTTCGTTTTATGTTATAGTTATGTTAAATTGCTTTTCCCCCCTCAGTTTTGAAATCGCTAGGAATGTCCAGTCAGAATTTCCCTTTTTGCCCCTCCCTCCAACAATAGCTTTTATATTTTATGCCCTTTTAGCCATTCCAACCATGGGGTCAAACAGTTTTGGGCTTGTTTGTTTGTTTGCCATTTTCTGACCTGAGGAAGAGAGTGCATCTTAGGTTATTCCCAGCAAGCTCATTGGCCGTCATTTTCCCGAAGGCGCAGACTGTTGCGTCCTCTTGGCTTAGCGCTCCTCTGTGGTCAGACCAAAGTCCCAGGATAGCTGTTCCTGCATCAACTTTTGTCTCTTGTTAGGATCATAGCTGTGCAACCGATGACCAGAGCTGTTCGTTGCCCTCGGTCTGAGGCTGAGTGTTTCTTCCCTTTTCTTAACCTTTGTCTTCTCGTGCATCTGTTTGGTCTTCCTATGATAGATGGAGAAATAAGGACACAGGACACTTGAGTCAGGGATAAGCCAGAGTAAGAACTTAATTCTACCAATTACAGAGTCCGGACACTTGATACTCAAGGCTTTGTTGTCGTTGTGTGCTGGGTAGAGTTTGTCTTTGGAGCTTGAGAAGTTACAGGCCACGTACCAATTGGCACAAGGCATTATCTCTTTTCCATTGACTGTAATTTAATGTTGAATATGTGTACACACTTAATAATTTTGTTAAAGGTCATTATTTAAAATGAGTGCAATTGCGTAAGAGGCCATTTCATCGTTAAGTCTGTGCTGTGTGCATTCATTTTTCTTGCACAAAGAAAATTGGTCAAATGGGCGATTGCCATTGTGATTTTTGCACAATGATGATACTATCAGTTATTGAACCCTGACTGCACAAAGCATGGCCTTGAGCTTTTGACATGAATCAACTAACTTAACCTTCATACCAAGCAGATGAGGAAGGCAATGTTATGATTATTCCCAGTCCACAGAGTAGGAAGATGAGCATGGACAAATTAGCCATTTGTGTAAGGTCCTCCAGCTCTTCATTCAAAGAACCAGACTCCAAACTCAGGCAGTCCCACTACAGAGCCTAATTCATGAAGCCCTGTGCTGTGTGGCCTGGTGGATACAAGTGTCCATGTATGTTAAAACAGGCCTCACATTTTGTTCCTGTGTTTCACTGACAGCCCTCCCTGCTGGTCATGGAGGCGCTCCGGGTACTCAGTAGGATGTAATACCTCAGAGACCCCAAACGAAGACTCTTTTCACAGATAATTAAAGCAATGGAAGCAAGGTGATTTGATCTGAGTTTGCTCTCCCTTTCACATCAGTCACAAGTTCAACTTCTGTTCTAATAACCCCCAGGTCCTCCTTAATAGTTAATCACTATACTCCTCTTGCGCACCTCCTGTAAGGAAGTAGGAAGCTTTGAAAGATCCTAGGACAGCATGTGTGGGAGCGCTTCAAAAACGCGCATCAGGGACTATTATTGGTTTCGGGTTTTGTTTTGTTTTTACAATCACTCCACAAACTTCTGTTTTGCTCCTGCGGCTTATGGGATGGCACTGGGAAAAACCAGTTGACCTTTTTGTCCCAATGAGCGGTATCAGCCATCCAGACCACAGCTCTCATTAATTAAATGAATAAAAGTACGACAGTGGAGTAAATCAGTACTTAGCAAAGCTTCTTCTAACAGGCCGACGTGTAATGTCCTGCCATCTGTCAGAACCCCACTCTCAGGAGAAATGCACTCCGATCTGTGTTTCCAGGGGCAGCGACGACACTTGTGCCTCTGTCTGTCCATCTTTATATTGTGTCCTCTCTGGGTACAATGGAAGAACTTTGCAGGATGACTGGTGAGTGTCAGGAGTGAGGTCTCTGGCTACGCAGAGCCAACCTGTGACTTTGACCTTTCATTTCCTGAGCTCAGTGACCGAACACTCACTTTCCTCTACTATTGAGTCATAAATGTAGGGGAGGAGGTACAGGGAAGATGCTGTTTTTCTTACACTGACCTCCTAGCCACGCCCATCAATGTCTAGATTTCCGACCAAGAGGTTTCACAGTGGATCTGAAGATGATTTAGACAGTGCTCTGAGCAAAGGAAAGAACCACCTGCCTTATTGCCCTGTGCCCTGGTAACAGTGACCTAGGAAAACCCAAAGTCCAGTTCACTGAGGATTTGGTGGCAAACCAGCTCACGGTTTTCTCTGAGTACTTGGATACTTGGTGCTGTGAAGTGTATGGAAAACTGGGTAATTTAAGAACTGTTGGATTCTTAGTGGTCCAAATCCAGGTTAGCATGGGGGGAGCCAGCGGTGTGCTTGTCTTTTCTTGACGATTATGAGTAGGATTGGAGTTGCGTGTGCATGCATGCACTCGGTGGGATCCGTGGACCAAGCTAGCGCTCAAAGTAAGTGTGCAGGTCTGTCTTCTTAGCATCCGTAAGGGTGGGAAAGCAGTGGGAACCAACTCAGCATCTGTTCCATCCATAGGAATTGCTGCGTCGGCCAAGGATGGGGTTTGGGGGCATGGGGGTCGGGGGTCGGGACACAGAAATGTGTGAGGTTTGACTCATGAGCAAATATTTTTGAACACTGACTATGTAGCAGGCCTTGTATAGGTGCTAGGGTGACACATCTGCTCTCATGAAGCTTGTATTCTAGTGGAGGAAGATGGTCAATAACCAGATAAATAGACGAACAAGACGATATGCGCAAATGAGGGTTACTCTTCAAAGTAGTCACCCTGTAAACTTACTCTATTTATGTATTTAAAAAAATACGTTGGACTCCTGTGGACTAGGCCTTGAGGACTTGATGGGTCTGGAGGTGAGTCTGACGTGCAGCCTGGGTTG